TTCCACAATGGCAGCCTTGCAGGCGGCGGCCATGTGCATTTAGGCACGAAACGCACGGAATTAACAAAGTTTTTTTTCTTTTTTGCTTAAGAACACTTACGTTATTAATATGATGTTTATATTTTGACATCTTAAAATTAATTTAAGAAAGATTGTAGGCTGTTATTGATAAAAAATGAAGAACCAGAAAAACAAATTTGCTCAATTATTTTTAATTAGCTATTGAGGTAGGTACAACGGGTTTTGGCGCAGCTGCGACATCATCAAGTTCTTAGTTGTGTTCAGTTTTTAAACTGCTAGTTGCGAATCAAGCCAAGACCCAATTATATTTTAGGAATGCTTTTGATTACATTGCTAGCGATTTCTATCTCTTGAGGAGAGCAGGAAAGAGAACACTAATTAAAGAAAATAAATTATCCACAGGATCTTTTTGAAGTTGAGCGAAGTTGAGAATTGGGGGGTGATGATAAAGTGATAAATGCTGCCTTTAATATTAGATGATAATGGTGAAGCTAGTGCTATAAAAAACAGGGTTTTGGCTTTTGGATAATGTAACTGCATTGCAGTGAAATGGAGAGCAAGACAAGGTCAAGATCAATCACAGACTCATCAAAACAAAGTCAAATTTGTTACTAATGAATGCTTGGGAAATTTTGAGTAAGGTAGTTGAAGTATGCTTTCCAGTATACAGTGAGTTAAACATTGATACATGTTTATGTCTTGCACATTAGTTTTTTTGTAAGATGATTATCCTCATGGTATTGGAATTTGCTAGCACTGATAACTTGCCATTTAACATTGGTAGACTGATGTGTTTGATGTTACAGTTAATGTGTTTGCCCATTTCTTGTGACATCACATGCATTTGGGAGAAATGTGTCATGATTGTCCTTTTTCTTCATCCAATGTCATTTAGCAAATCAAATTTGAGTTCAGAAGGTTTATAAAAAATGTTTTCAATTTTTTATGACAGTAGTTGACTTTAATAATACCGACAAAATACCAAATGCTTTTGGTATAAAATACCGAATACCGAATCGGTATTGGTTCGGTATCGGTATACCGAAATTTTGGTAACCGATTGACATCACTAGGCCGGACGGCGGGCCCGGGCGGCCGCAGAGCCACTTCCGACCGGGTCAGCACGCGGCCAGGGAGCAGGCGGCTGGGCCGCCCGGCAGAGCCGCTCCACACAGCGGACTCGACACAGACGAGTACTGCAGCCCGACCAGCGCACCGGACGTGTCTAGGGCCGTGTGCATGTAGATATATCTGTGTGGCGGAAACAGATATCGGCCCGCGCGGGCTGCCGGCAGCGCGTGGAGAGCGCTGCCGGCTGGAGGCTGCTGGAGGCCGCTACACAGCACAGCTGCCGGCTGGAGGCTGCTGGAGGCCGCTACACAGCACAGCTGCCGGCTGGAGCCTGCTGGAGGCCGCTACACAGCACAGCTGCCGGCTGTAGAGCCTGACCGACTGACTGGCACCGGCTCTGGTTGACCTGACCTGACCTGAACCGACCTGGGCTAAATGCATGAAGACATCGACAGTTCCGAGCAAGAACATCCTAAGTGTCAAATTTTTCGAAATTGAGATGTTCATACCATTCGACTCAGCTCGTCGAGCTGAGTCGAATGGTATAAAAATCTCAACTTCGAAAAAATTGACACTAAGGATGTTCTTGCTCGAAACTATTGACATCATCTGTGATCAAAACTAAAATGACATCCGTGATCAGCACCTCGAAAACCCCATAACAGTCACACTTTACAACGTTCTAACAGGTCCCGATTTTCCCGACTTTGAGGGTCATTGACCTGACCTGGAAGGTCAACTGATGATCTAGGACCTTAAAATTGGGTATCATCGGCTTCCTCTCGTCACAGGCAACAAGCTCGTCTTTTCCGCCAAGCTGACAAGGAGGGTCGCACCTCCCCCCTTCTGCCGTCGTAGGAAGCAAAATGGCCAGTGCCGGTGAGGGTTAAAATTGGGTATCATCGGCTTCCTCTCGTCACGGGCAGCACGCTCGTTTTTCACGCGAAGCTCTAGCTCAATCAATAGCAAAACGGTAAAGGGAGGCCATCGCATCCCCCCCTTATATGTTCGTGGCTGGCAAAACACCAATACGGGCGAGGGTTAAGGCGCCTGTGTCCCGCTGACAGTGTATCAGGTGTCCCGCTGGCAATGTATCACGTGTCCCGCTGACAATATATCAGGTGCCCCGCTGACAGTGTATCAGGTGTCCCGCTGGCAGTTTATCAGGTGCCCCGCTGGCAGTGCATTAGGTGTCCACTGGCAGTGTGTCAGGTGTTCGGCTGGCAATGTATCAGGTGTCCCGCTGACAGTGTATCAGGTGTCCCGCTTGCAATGTATCAGGTGTCCCACTGACAGTGTATCAGGTGCCCCGCTGACAGTGTATCAGGTGTCCCGCTGGCAGTTTATCAGGTGTCCCGGTGACAGTGTATCAGGTGTCCCGCTTGCAATGTATCAGGTGTCCCACTGACAGTGTATCAGGTGTCCCGCTGACAGTGTATCAGGTGTCCCGCTGACAGTGTATCAGGTGTCCCGCTGACAGTGTATCAGGTGTCCCGCTGACAATGTATCAGGTGTCCCGCTGGCAGTGTATCAGGTGTCCCGCTGGCAGTGCATTAGGTGTCCCACTGGCAGTGTGTCAGGTGTCCCGCTGGCAATGTATCAGGTGTCCCGCTGACAGTGTATCAGGTGTCCCGCTTGCAATGTATCAGGTGTCCCACTGACAGTGTATCAGGTGTCCCACTGACAATGTATCAGGTGTCCCGCTGACAGTGTATCAGGTGTCCCGCTGACAGTGTATCAGGTGTCCCGCTGACAGTGTATCAGGTGCCCCGCTGGCAGTGCATTAGGTGTCCCACTGGCAGTGTGTCAGGTGTCCCGCTGGCAGTGTATCAGGTGTCCCGCTGACAGTGTATCAGGTGTCCCGCTTGCAATGTATCAGGTGTCCCACTGACAGTGTATCAGGTGTCCCGCTGACAGTGTATCAGGTGTCCCGCTGACAGTGTATCAGGTGTCCCGCTGACAGTGTATCAGGTGTCCCGCTGACAATGTATCAGGTGTCCCGCTGGCAGTGTATCAGGTGTCCCGCTGGCAGTGCATTAGGTGTCCCACTGGCAGTGTGTCAGGTGTCCCGCTGGCAGTGTGTCAGGTGTCCCGCTGGCAATGTATCAGGTGTCCCGCTTGCAATGATCAGGTGTCCCACTGACAGTGTATCAGGTGTCCCGCTGACAGTGTATCAGGTGTCCCGCTGACAGTGTATCAGGTGCCCCGCTGGCAGTGCATTAGGTGTCCCACTGGCAGTGTGTCAGGTGTTCGGCTGGCATTGTATCAGGTGTCCCACTGACAGTGTATCAGGTGTCCCGCTGACAGTGTATCAGGTGTCCCGCTGACAGTGTGTCAGGTGTCCCGCTGGCAATGTATCAGGTGTCCCGCTGACAGTGTATCAGGTGTCCCGCTTGCAATGTATCAGGTGTCCCGCTGGCAGTGCATTAGGTGTCCCACTGACAGTGTATCAGGTGTCCCGCTGACAGTGTATCAGGTGTCCCGCTGGCAGTGAGTCAGGTGTCCCGCTTGCAATGTATCAGGTGTCCCACTGACAGTGTATCAGGTGTCCCACTGACAGTGTATCAGGTGTCCCACTGACAATGTATCAGGTGTCCCGCTGGCAGTGTATCAGGTGCCCCGCTGGCAGTGCATCAGGTGCCCCGCTGGCATTGTATCAGGTGCCCCGCTGACAGTGTATCAGGTGTCCCGCTGACAGTGTATCAGGTGTCCCGCTGGCAGTGTGTCAGGTGTCCCGCTTGCAATGTATCAGGTGTCCCACTGACAGTGTATCAGGTGTCCCGCTGACAATGTATCAGGTGTCCCGCTGACAGTGTATCAGGTGTCCCGCTGACAGTGTATCAGGTGTCCCACTGACAGTGTATCAGGTGTCCCGCTGACAGTGTATCAGGTGTCCCGCCGACAGTGTATCAGGTGTCCCGCTGACAGTGTATCAGGTGTCCCACTGACAATGTATCAGGTGTCCCACTGACAGTGTATCAGGTGTCCCACTGACAGTGTATCAGGTGTCCCGCTGACAGTGTATCAGGTGTCCCACTGACAGTGTATCAGGTGTCCCGCTGACAGTGTATCAGGTGTCCCGCCGACAGTGTATCAGGTGTCCCGCCGACAGTGTATCAGGTGTCCCGCTGACAGTGTATCAGGTGTCCCGCTGACAGTGTATCAGGTGTCCCGCTGACAGTGTATCAGGTGTCCCGCTTGCAATGTATCAGGTGTCCCACTGACAGTGTATCAGGTGTCCCACTGATAATGTATCAGGTGTCCCGCTGGCAGTGTATCAGGTGTCCCGCGGACAGTGTATCAGGTGTCCCGCTGGCAGTGCATTAGGTGTCCACTGGCAGTGTGTCAGGTGTTCGGCTGGCAATGTATCAGGTGTCCCACTGACAATGTATCAGGTGTCCCGCTGACTGTGTATCAGGTGTCCCGCTGGCAGTGCATTAGGTGTCCACTGGCAGTGTGTCAGGTGTTCGGCTGGCAATGTATCAGGTGTCCCACTGACAATGTATCAGGTGTCCCGCTGACAGTGTATCAGGTGTCCCGCTGACAGTGTATCAGGTGTTCGGCTGGCAATGTATCAGGTGCCCCGCTGGCAGTGCATTAGGTGTCCCACTGGCAGTGTGTCAGATGTCCCGCTGGCAGTGTGTCAGGTGTTCGGCTGGCAGTGTTACAGGGGTCCGTCCGGCTGGCAGTGTGGCAGGGGTCCGTCCGGCTGGCAGTGTGGCAGGGGTCCGTCCGGCTGGCAGTGTGGCAGGGGTCCGTCCGGCTGGCAGTGTGGCAGGGGTCCGTCCGGCTGGCAGTGTGGCAGGGGTCCGTCCGGCTGGCAGTGTTGCAGGGGTCCGTCCGGCTGGCAGTGTGGCAGGGGTCCGTCCGGCTGGCAGTGTGGCAGGCCGCCGGTGTGCGACACCTACCCAGATCGAGTGTGAGGTTGACGACGCTCGGGTACTGGATGTCGTCCATCATGGTCTCCGACTGCCACCAGGTCTCATTCTCGAAGTTGTTAAAGTCGGTAAGGTATGAGGGCGGGTGTTGCCTGCAGACAGAGAGAAGGGGGAGGCACCAGTCATGGACGCCAGTACAGCCGGACAGACTGAAAAAAAAATCGGCATTATCCTACTGATAGGCTAAAAACGCGGGACTCTGTCAACTGGCGCTGAGTTGTGCTGGGTCGGAGCTACCCAGCCGCGCACTGCAGCGTCTGTCCCCCGCGGGTGGCACCGACCCCCAGCGGACACCATTTGGTAGCCGAGGTCTGTGACGTCAGCCGGGCGTGAAGTTTTCCCTTCACCATAGGCTTTACACACAAACTTGCCGAAGTTCATGCCAGGATAGCCCGGCCTAAAAGTGCAAATAATGATTAAATTTTGCCCTCATTAGACCCATTGCTTCATTTTATAACTAAAACGTTCGTTATTCGGCCTCAATGAAGGTACAAAGTACTCAACATCGAAGTTCAAGAAGATGCTGTCCGAGCATCTGGTAACATCACGTGACTTCTTTTCAGCAGATTGTATATAATTTAAGGATATATTTACACGATTGATGCCTAAAACATCATAAATAATACACTTGTAACATTTATTACTTGTTTTACTTGTTTTACTTGTTGTGTTTAAGTCATCACATTGCAAAACGCAAAGTTTCTCATGGCAGTCACGTGACCAAAGGTATAGCAGGGGGTTGGGACAAACACTCAAAGGATGTCAAGTTCTTTAATGAAATTATACAAGTTTCATGATGAAATTGAAAGATTGTATTTTTTGCTAATGAAATACAAATTTCCGTTTGTAAAATATTTTCCTTATAGGCGAAATTCTCCATATACCTAACTTCGAGACGTGCGAATAACTTTATCGACGCCTGCTGTCTGGCTGGTCTTAAACAGTATGTGTGTCTTCCGATTCGGGACGATGACACACTCGACCTGATTTGTGTAACCGGCAGTGCATTACCGATGTTGATGTGCGAGATGGCATTTTCGACTCCGACCACAAACAAGTAGAATGAATTGTAAATCCTGTGAAATCTGTTGCGACCCTGACATCCAGGCGATCCGCCTTCAACTATAAAGAGGCCGACTTTGAGAGGTTACGTGTATCGCTAGGGTCACTCCCGTGGAGCATCCTTGATGGCATGCATGTCGATGCAGCAGTGGATATCTTTTACGATTTTGTTAACGCGGCTATCAACGACTGTATACCTGTTGTGCATATTAGGAGAAACTATCCTACCTGGTTCGATCGCGATCTGCGCAACATGTTACGAGAAAAGGAAACGGCATTTAGAAGAATGAAACGAAACCGGTGTGAGGAAACCGAACCGGCATTCAGTGCTAAGAGAAGAGAATTTAGAATCTCAGCTGACCAAAAATATAGCGCCTACTATGATAGGACTCCTGCATTTACACAGACTTCTCTGCTGCGTTCCAGAGCGTAGACCACTCTCTTAATTTACAAGCTGGAAAAGGGTTATCATGTATCAGGTCCATCTCTGGAGTGGTAGCAGTCATACCTCACAAACAGGCAGCAACGCGTCGTGGTGAATGGCGGGTGCTCGCAGTGGTGCCAGGTTACGTCGGGAACACCGGAGGGTGGCGTGATCTCTGCGTTGTGCTTTGCTCTGTTTATCAACGATTTGCCGATTGGCATGTCTTCACGGGTGCTTCTCTATGCTGACGACGCCAAATTATATAGGAAAATCACCTGTCTAAGCGATTTCAAATCCTTACAGGAAGATCTTGAACGGCTCCAAAAATGGTCAAAGACGTGGAAACTCCAACTAAACCCTTCAAAATATAAATCATTTCGTATGACACTCAAAACGAAACCATTGCCTACGTCTTACTCGATCCAAAACTCGGTCCAGGAACATGTTGAAGTTATTTGAGATTTAGGCGTCATTTTGGACGCAGAATTGACATTTGGGCCTCACGTCAATCAAACCGTCGTCAAAGCGAATTGCGCTCTAGGCGTCCTGATAAGGTCATATCGGAGAGCCAACCGGACCCGAGAGGAAGCCTCAGTGCTCCGTCGGCTCTCGCATCGTACTATGCGTGGCGGCTCGGGACAGGCGGTAGAGATAAAAGATGAGGGGATACTGATAAGGCACCTTATCAGCTAGGGGACGACGCGGCGCGCGGCGGCTCGGGATGAAAGGGAGAGAGAGGGAAGGAGTAGGTAGAGAGAGAGAGAGAGAGAGAGAGAGAGAGAGAGAGAGAGAGAGAGAGAGAGAGAGAGAGAGAGAGAGAGAGAGACGGGTGGTGCAGGTGTTGTTTTGACGGTTTTGACGAACTGACGCTAAAGTGGGGGAGGGGGAGCGGGGGAAGAAATAGCCTGTGGATCTTCTCTGTGTGGGGACAGCGAGGACAGTCCAGCGAGAGCGCCTGAGCCTGGCGGAGTGTATACGAATTTCTCTGCGTGCAAACAAGAACTTTAAGTGCTAACGAGAAGTTGTAGTGCCACGTGACTCAGACCTCCAACCGTGATACCAGTCGAGGCGCCAGAGGACACAGCACACAGGCCAGGTGAGGGTGGAGCTACTGGGAGGCAGTTGCAAACACCTACCACTTACTGGATATTTATTGCATCTCAAGGTGTTTAGTCCTGCCTGTTCATGTGTAATTTTATGCCTGATAAACAACGATAGCTGAAGAACGATAAGGTGGCGGTCTATAGGTACAGTCCACAGCAGAAGTAATGTGTGGTTTCAGTCATGGGTATGTTCTGCTTCTGAAGCCTAGGAACGATTAGCCAGACTGCAACGAGACTTTAAATGTAGCTTACATGTATCTTCACCCTTGCAGCTACAACTTTATCTATTGACGTCTTCTTTTCAATCAGTCCGCATTTAAAAATCGTCGGTCAAAGCCATCCGTTGAGATTGGTTAAACCACACATTACTTTAGCGGTGGGCTGTACTTGGTCTGCATGTCAAAATGACTCATTTTCGTGTGGAATAACTCCCGACCAATGCTGTACAGTTCACATATCGATTAGCATGCAGCCTGAAACACATTTTGCACAAGTTGCTCTCGCAAACAGCTAAACGTCGCTGCTGCAGAGCAGCGCTATTTCTGATGCGTTATTTTTCATGAACAACGCAAAGTCTAACGTCACCAGAGGCGTCTTTGTCTCTTTATGATACGGAAACGCGTCCTTTTGGGCAGGGGTAGCGCCAATCTGGCTTCGTTCTTTGAACGGGTTCCGTCTTCCGTCTTCGTCCTTTTATGATAACCAAATTCCGTCTAATCTCAGAAATGACGGAGCGTCCCTCCGTTCTTTTCTTTATAAGAATGGCCAGGACTGGTAGTGGCTGGAGACCTCTCACTGCAGTGAGTAGACAGGACCCAGTGCACTGGGGCGAAGGCAGCACGGACTGTAACCGTGCACACTGGCCCTGACTGTAACTGTGCAGACTGTCCCCGACTAATAGTGCCCCCCCCCCCCCCCCCCTGCACTCTGGGTCCGTGACTTCCCCTATACGGGCCCGTGCCCTCACCTGTTCGGGTCCGTGACTTCCCTTATACGGGCCCGTGCCCTACCCTGTACGGTCCGTGACTCCGTGCCCTCACCTGTACGGGCCCGTGCCCTCACCTGTACGGTCCGTGCCCTCACCTGTACGGTCCGTGCCCTACCCGGTACGGTCCGTGCTCTCACCTGTACGGGTCTCCGTCGATGCACACGTCGCAGATTTTATCGGTGAGACCGCAGAAGTTGGTGGGCTTGGTGACACCGCACGTGTTGGTGGCTCGCACCCGGCGCCCGAACGCCGCGTTCATGAAAACCGGCTGGCAGCGCTGCGTGAGCCAGACACAGAGACTCAGACGGTCGTTATACTCAGACTTCAGCTCACACAGACGGTCGTTACACGCACACGCACACGTACACACACACACACACACACACACACACAGAGAGAGAGAGAGAGAGAGAGAGAGAGAGAGAGAGAGAGAGAGAGAGAGAGAGAGAGAGAGAGAGAGAGAGAGAGAGAGAGAGAGAGAGAGAGAGAGTCGGCACGCACACAGAGACAGTCGATACACACACAAAGACAGTCGATACACAAACAGACAGTCGATACACACACAAACAGTCGATACACAGACAGTCGATATACACAGAGACAGTCGATACACACACAGACGGTCGATACACACACAGACAGTCAATACAAAAACAGACAGTCGATACACACACAGAGACAGTCGATACACACAGAGACAGTCGATACACACAGAGACAGTCGATACACACACAGAGACAGTCGATACATACACACATTGACAGTCGATACATACACAAACAGACAGTCGATACACAGAGACAGGCGATACACACTCAGAGACAGTCGACACACAGTCGACACACAAACAGACAGTCGATACACAGACAGTCGATACACAAATAGACAGTCGATACACAAACAGACAGTCGACACACACACAGAGACAGTCGATCAGCACAGGATGACACGTGTCGGCGCGCAGGCACGGTCAGCCGGGGCGGGGCAGGGCCGGCTGCAACACGACCTGCCGACCGGCCGGCCGGCCGGCCGGCGCGCAGTCGGGCGGACGGTATGTGCGCGTACTGCGGATAATGTAACCTGGCGGCGTGAGTGGCCGCCGATCGGGCCGCAGCGGCGGCGCAGCGCGAGATTGTACACCAGCTGCTCACACCGTCCCGGGGCTGAGCGCGCCAGCCGAGCTGATGATGCTACCCAAGGGCTACCGGCGCGGCGGTGCCTGGCCACCGTCTCGTTCAAAGGCGATAGGTGGCCACTTGCCATTGGCCGATTCCCTCAGTGGGGCGGCGGTTCCACACAAAACCGGCCCGGCCCGCTGCAGTACACCGTACGTACTACGTCGTTTCCATCCCCAGGATGTAGAAGTCCTCCTCCACACCTCGACCCCCACACCGGGCTGGACAGGTAGCTTTATCAACGGCCATATCAAAGCTGGTTTATTCTTCTTGCACCAGGTGGCAGCACTTCTTTTCCAAAATCAGTGCTTGTGTTTCCAAAATCGTGATTTCCTCGCTGAGGAGTGAAATCAGCTTCATCGTTGCCAAAAATAGCTGATAGCGTTGTCATTTTTGGCACATGGTTGCCAAAAATGGCATGTGCTAAAAATGACAACGATTGACCAAACCTCCCCCGACTGAACTTTCCATGCGCGGGCATTGAGCGCAGCGGGACGGAGCAAAACCTGTAAGAAAATGTAATTTAATGCATGTTGTAAATCTAGCAGAGCAATGAACTGTCTTCACAGGTATCACGAATAACTTTGGTACCGATATGGATCGTTAAACAAATGCAACAATTGTTTAGCAGGACGAGACGAACGTTTCTTCCCTGGCCGGTCAGACGGGCGCGAGCCGGGTCTGCGAGTCGATAAGGGTCATTCCACGATTCTGTGTGGCTGAGCTTCATCGTGACGCTCAGTTGTGTGATTGCGCCTTGTTGCCGGCTGTGCGAGGGGTACCTATATTAATATTTGAGAATGTTTTATTTCTGCATATCGTTCCTTTGGTATTCAGCTTTCACTGGAAAACGGAAAAACATGCCATGATTTCAAGACTGTTCTGGACAGCTCGTTGAATAAAAAATTGTTACGTTTTTACGAAAACGCAATTTTTGAAAAAGGCCATCGAACGATTTGATAAAAAATACATTTTTGGAAATAGCTCGCCGTCAGCTTTCGAATGGTATATTTCGCTTCTTTTGTGGATGAAATGAGTTTCCGACGAGCCGTGCAGGGCGGTGAGCGGCGGGCAGCGGTCGTCTCGGTGAGCGGCGGGCGGCCGGCGCCGGCGGCCTATCTGCGCTGCCTTCCTGTCAGGCTCCACTGAGGCCGGCGGCGGCCACATCCCGTCCAGCTGTGCGGCCGTTCCGCCGCGCTGGTGACTGGCGACCCCGGTCCGGCGGCGGCGTGGGCCAGGCCGCGCCGAGGGGAGCGCGCCGCTCCCCTCGCCCAGTCGGCTCACGTTACACAGCACACTCCACTCGGCGACGCGGCCGAGCGGCCATTCTAGCTCCGAGGACCAGCGGCTCGCAAACTCCCGGCGGAGTGAAATTTCTCAGTGAAAACCTGACGTTGAAGCTTACAGCGTGCCCAAAAGGTTTTGCGACAAATCCATTTTCCCACTACGTAGGTACGCCTTCACCCCTGATAATATAAACGTTGACGGTGACCTTGTTGGCATCGATAGGAAGCACTAAGTACCTACTTCCCAATTCCCATTCAGATCATTCGCGACTGTTGCCAAGACACATGACTGACCTCGCTTACGGCGAATGTTGAATGACCAATGACCCTGGGTCAGTCGCAGACATGCAGGTCACCAAACGGGTCATACGCAGCCAGAGAATATGCGCTCACGCGCTATTGGATTACTGAACACGGGTGTGACTCTGCAGGATGTTGTAGAACGGTTTGGACTGGAGTTAACCGCACTTGGACGACTCTCTCCAGCGAAAAATCCGCTCCATCCGGCCACGCACCGTGTGAGTCTCTAAAATCGTTAGCACCAAGGCTGCAGGTTACATAGAATAACGCGCGAAGAGCACGTTTCGTCGGAAGGTCATTAGATGCTCAAAAGAAACGACATATACCATTCCAAAACTGACGGTGAGTTAAATCCATAAATGTAATTTTTATCAAAATCGTTCGATGGCACTTTTTTAAATTCTTTTTTGTAAAAGCAGTATAATTGTTTATTCAACAGGCTGTCCCGGACATTCTAGAAATCATAGATGTTTTTCGGGTTCCAGTGAAAGCTGAACCCCAAAACAACAATATGCATCGAAAACATATTCTCAAATATTAATATGCGTCTCCCACAGGCGACAAAAGGGCGCAATCACACAGCCCAGTGTCACGATGGACCAAAGTCAGCCACACAGAAGCGTGAAATGACCCTTATCGACTCGCAGACCCGGCGCTCTCGGCCCGCCTGACCGGCCACGGAAAGAACGTTCGGCTCTCGTTCTACTACACGGACGTCAGTTGTCACATTTGTTAGTTTAACGATTCTATTTTGAGTACAATTGAGTAGCTATTTTGTGACACAATAAAAAGGCGAAAACGCAACCTTTACTCATACCTAATGGCTTCTGATATGGTTTGGATATGGTGTGAAAATGCATAAGTAAAAAAATCACTTAAAAGAAAATCGCCTTTTCAATCACCGGCAACAATGTTATGAATAATACGATGTCGGATAACAACGCTCATCCTTGAACAAACACACCATCCATTTTTCCATTTCCACATGGGTCGGAATAGGGGTTTGTTTATGATGACCGTTGACAACGTGAGCTTATCGTCTTTCCGACTATCGGTCGCCGGCCGGGGTAACTTTTTCAAACATTCTCCATCCACGCGCCAGTGACCATCGCCCGCGGCCGTGGCCGGGCGCAGGTGAGGCCCGTTGGAGAGCGGCCGAGGGCTATCGGCCGGGACGCCCGCACCGTCCAGCGCAGTGGACGTCCGCCCCGTCCAGCGCTGTGCGCTCCGCGCCTGGTCCAGCTGGTTTTCTGTGACTGGAGGTAGAGCCCGGACGGAGGTGGTCCCTCTCCCCTGTCTGGAGGTAGAGCCCAGACGGAGGTGGTCCCTCTCCCCTGTCTGGAGGTAGAGCCCAGACGGAGGTGGTCCCTCTCCCCTGTCTGGAGGTAGAGCCCAGACGGAGGTGGTCCCTCTCCCCTGTCTGGAGGTAGAGCCCGGACGGAGGTGGCCCCTCTCCCGTCTCATCCCCTCTCCCTCAGTGCCCCGGTCGGCCGTGGTCCGGTCGGCCGTGGTCCGGTCGGCCGTGGTCCGGTCTGCCTGCTGTGGACCTGCGGTCCGGTCTGCCGTGGTCCGGTCGGCCGTGGTCCGGTCTGCCTGCTGTGGACCTGCGGTCCGGTCTGCCGTGGTCCGGTCTGCCTCCTGTGGACCTGCGGTCCGGTCTGCCTGCTGTGGACCTGCGGTCCGGTCTGCCGTGGTCCGGTCTGCCTGCTGTGGACCTGCGGTCCAGTCTGCCGTGGTCCGGTCTGCCTGCTGTGGACCTGCGGTCCGGTCTGCCGTGGTCCGGTCTGCCTGCTGTGGACCTGCGGTCCGGTCTGCCGTGGTCCGGTCGGCCGTGGTCCGGTCTGCCTGCTGTGGACCTGCGGTCCGGTCGGCCGTGGTCCAGCCGTCCGCGGCGCACCAGTATCCGTCAGTGTTATTGCTCTGCGCTGACGTGTGTGACGCACTCCAGACATGTGGGGGCGGCCCGGCCCGGCCGGGCGCCGCACGTGGCCACCGGGCCCGGGCCGAGCGGCTCAGCGTGCACTGCGGCTGCCTATAGACTACACATACAGTACTGAATCCGTGCGGGCCGAGCGGCTCAGCGTGCACTGCGGCTGCATATAGACTACACATACAGTACTGGATCCGTGTGGGCCGAGCGGCTCAGCGTGCACTGCGGCTGCCTATAGACTACACATACAGTACTGGATCCGTGCGAGCCGAGCGGCTCAGCGTGCACTGCGGCTGCCTATAGACTACACATACAGTACTGAATCCGTGCGGGCCGAGCGGCTCAGCGTGCACTGCGGCTGCATATAGACTACACATACAGTACTGGATCCGTGTGGGCCGAGCGGCTCAGCGTGCACTGCGGCTGCCTATAGACTACACATACAGTACTGAATCCGTGCGGGCCGAGCGGCTCAGCGTGCACTGCGGCTGCCTATAGACTACACATACAGTACTGGATCCGTGTGGGCCGAGCGGCTCAGCGTGCACTGCGGCTGCCTATAGACTACACACACAGTACTGGATCC